GGTCCAATGCAAAAATAAATGAAAGAGTAGATGCACATGACGCAGCAATCAAAAATATTGAAGTGCAATTGGGCCAAATTTCAATGTCTCTGAACAACCGTCCTCAGGGAACATTACCTGCAGATACCCAGATTAATCCAAAAGATCAGGGCCCAAAGCAGCTGATGGTGGTGAGTCTCCGTAATGGCAGGGATCTAGATGTAGAACAAGAGAGAGCTCAAGAAAATATACAGGCTGAGACATTCATTCCACTGCCCATTGAGCTGGATGAGTCTACGATACTGATAGAAGTGACAGTCCAACCTGCTCAGGAAGAAAAGAACATTCAGCAGGAGATCGAGAAAGTAGATGAGCCAGTTGAAGAGCCAGTAGTTAAAATAGAATCTGATAAAGAGAAGTCCCAAGTGATTGGGAAGAAGAGACCTCCTGCACCCTTTCCACAGACGTTGGCCAAGCATCAAAAGGAGGAGCAGTATAAAAAGTTCTTTGAAATGCTCAAACAGATCCAGGTAAATATTCCACTGATTGAAGCTTTAAAGGAGATGCCTGGGTACGCAAAAATGATGAAGGACTTGATGCCCCGGAAATTTGATTTTCAAGACTTGGCTACGGTTACACTTACTCGGACCTGTAGTGCAGTGGTGACGATACCTATTGCTGAAAAACTGTCTGATCCAGGTAGCTTTACAATTCCATGCACTATTGGGAATTTCGCCTTTGATAAGGCACTCTGTGATTTAGGGGCCAACATTAATTTTATGCCCCTAGCTATCTATAAGAGGTTGGGCATTGGGAGAGCTAGACCCACCTCCATGTTGCTGCAGCTGGCCGATAGGACTGTGAAGCGTCCATTCGGTATCCTTGATGATGTGCTTATTCAGGTGGGGAAATTTGTGTTCCCTGCAGATTTTGTGATCTTGGATTGCAAAGTGGATGAAGAGATTCCTATAATCTTAGGAAGACCATTCTTGGCCACGGGGAGAGCTCTAATTGACTGTGATACTGGGGAACTCAAAATGAGACTCAATGATGAGGAAATAACGTTCAATGTGCAGAAGTCTATGAAGCAACCAAGCGAGTTCGCCAATTGCTCTCTTATTGATGCCAAGGATGTAATTGTAGATTCTGATGATGAGGTGTTGACAATTGAGGACCCTCTTGCTGCATGTTTGATGAACTTAGATGAAGTGAATGGGGAGGATTTGGCGGAATGGGTGTTGGCATTGGAAGGTAGAGGGTTCTAGGAGAGAAATCTAGAGTTTGAGCCCTTGCACTTAGAAAAGAGAGAAACTCCTCCAACTAAGCCATCCATTGAAGAACCACCAATGCTAGAGTTAAAGCAATTGCCAGCCCACCTCAGGTATGAATTTCTGGGACCTGACTCCATATTACCTGTTATTATCTC